TAATGTCCGCATTTATCAGACTACCGTTTAATCGAACTACTTTCATAATAAAAAACAGATTGAATGCAATTTAAATGCAAAGATTGGCCTGAATTGGCCCAAAACAATAACTGAAGCAAAGGCCCCAAGATAGTGGAAAAATTTGCATAGAAAACAAAGCTGGAGGAAAACAAATTCTCGAGTGCCAAAGAATTCCGAGTTAGATTCTGCCAGCGATAACGGATGATAAAGAGAGCAGGAGAGGCAGAACGAATTATTCAAATCCCCACCCGACCAGGTGACAGTTCTGCAATCTGCAATCCAGGGAAAGTGGGCGTTAATGTCTCTCAATGGGCGGTTCTCAAGGGGAAGGAACTCAGAGCAGGCGTAGGGTTTCCATGTCGTTTCCATGTGACGACTTATCAACTGTCCCGACGGCTGGTGAGGATGGGGGGTAGGATCGCTTAGCATCAACATCAAATACTACTCAAGAATTTCAAAGCAAACTTGTTTGCTCAACTTGCCAGCGATTTGTGGGAGGAATGGGGGGTTTTCTACACCGTAAAAAAGGGTTAACTTAAGGAAGAAAATATCAAAATAAGGTATTTTGAGTTGTTTTATTAGAAGAATCAGTAGAAGAATTAGTAAGCACTTCTAGAAAAACTATTAAAAAGCTACTTTAAATTAATGAAATCTTCCTTATATGTAGCTTTTCAATATGCAATAACAATATATTTTCCAAAAACTAAGGGGAATTAATAAACTTTAATAGTTTTTCCCACTGTGTAGCCAGGAAGGTAGGTAGGTGGATCTGGTGGTTAAGGTGGAGGTGGAGCAAAACTGAGTTCAATACACTCGACGGCATTCAGTGACGAACATTTGGCTTTCTGGGTGTTTTGAACTCATTTCGAAATGCGTAAAATTTGTTTTGTCTCTCGGCCTCTCGTTTATGTATGTGAGTGCCGTTGAAAGATTGATTAAATTATAGAGTATAGAGTGATGTGTTGTCGACCGTCAATTGGTTTACCGATGATCTATTTAATTAGGAAGACAAACATCCGTGGAATGCGCTGTGCGGCGACCTTGCCATATTTGACGACTTGACGACTTTTCTATCTGCTTTTCCATTCCCATTTCCATTCCCATTCCCAGCCTTTTGCAAGTTGTCAACTTCATTGGCAACCCGTTTTGTGTTGTTGCCCCTCTTCTCGCAGAGAGTTTTATCTTATCGGGCACTGTTACCGGCTTGCCAGGCTAAGACTAATTATAATCTTATCTGTCACAACTAAGTAGTGCAAACATCAGTGGAACTGTAACCGAAACACAGAAAAGCCCAATGGATTCAGATCTTTGGATCTCAGTTCCCTCTTTCGCTTCACCTGTAAACTCCTCACCATAATAAGCTCAAATTTCGGGAAAACAACGTGCAAAGTATTTTCCCTAAAATTGCGCAAAAAAGTGTGATCCCCTTGACTGATTCTTGTCTTGCGACAGACCAGCTAAGCAAATAAACACTGGCTATGATGTAGAGGGGAGAGTTCTACCAGAAGAATTCAACAATCCCCCAAAATAAAGTTCCCAAGAAATTGCCATTTCATCATTATTTGAGATAGTTGACAGTAAGCCAAGCGGAAAAAGATTTACCAAAAAAAAAAAAAGGTAAAAGGAAAACAACCGTTGTTTAAAAAGCGATCAAACTTTCTAGGATTAGTAGAGTACTTAAAGAGAATTTCATAATCGAGGAGTTCTAAGTAATAAATATATTTTTTAAAGTTTATTTACTCAAATTAATTCCTAAGTTTATAAAACTTTTAAAGCTACTGCAGGGCACTCCGAGCGGTTTACTTTTAATCTAATGTTCGGATTTTAGAAAGGTAATAATAAAGTTTTAAATTTACTAATTTAAAGTGAATTTGAATCAGTATATTTTTAGTTTATAGTCACAACATAAAGCAATGCTAATAAAGTTGTTATTACCTTTTGCCTAAAAATAGAAATCATCGTTAGGAAAATTCCAGTAATGATAATTCTAAAGACATTTGTTTTTTTTTAACCTTTTCCTTTCTTTTCTGCTGTTCCGGAGTTTTTTTTTTTTTACAATTTATATTTGCATTGCATAGAGTGCGAGGAATTCGCTAAGCAAATATTTGTGCCCCATACCACTTGTAGGTATCTGTATGTGCCTCCATACAGCAGATACTTTCCACCTTGGGCCAGCATCTCGGTTCAGTTGAGTTGTGTTGTGTTTTGCTGTGTGGAAATGATAAGCGAAACGAACGACCTTGTTGCCGAAGCCAACGACCTTCGCAATTTACCAAACCAATTACAACTTCCCCGGGCAAACAGGAGATGTAGCATCCTGCTGCGAGATTGTGATCTGGGATTTAGGATCAGGGATGTGGGTTCGTTGTTCGGGGTTCGGGGTTTTCGGTTCTTGGGCTCTGTGTATCCGGAATCCGACGGAAGTAAGGTGGAACAATTGACGCGGGATCGCAGGATCTGCTTAGGTAGTTGACAAGGATCATAAACAAAAAAGCCGCTGAAAAATCAAGAAGAATGAATTTCAAATCTGCGCTCTCTCTTTGCATCTCTTTCTTTGCTGCATTCGCTGGCTCTTTCACACTGCACGGGGGTTTTTTCGCGATTGTTTCTCGTTGTGTGGGTGTTGTATTCATTTGCAACTACCAAGAAGCGCGGCTTGGGAATATTTTCCTTTGGCCATTTTATGTTTTTGCTGTGTGTTTCCATCTTTTTGTTATTTGCTGCAAGCCAAGCGCAGCGGAGCACTAAAGAAAGCGTTGAACTTGCTGCAGGTTGCAATTGGCAAGGTTTGCCAGGCCCTTTTTTTGCGGAAATCCAGCGAACGAATTACATTTAATTGTAAATTTATGCGTCTGCTTCCGAAACCCAAGTGCCCCTCAGTACCCCCCTGATCCCAGCAATCTTTCCCTTTGGAGTTGTGTGAATGCCTCGCGATCTTCACCTTTGTGTGAATGTTTTCTGCGGCAGGTACATAGCTGTGTGGTGTGAGAATTGACAAACTTATAATGAGTCGACAGTAATGAGAGTGCACTGAAACAAAAATGCTAAATATATCCCAAATCCTTCATCTCTTTTATATGTCCTTAGATGGCATTTTGTATATGTAAATCTTAAAGATACTTTTTACAGAAATGAAAATATTTATTTTCATTATTCAAATTACTTGTATTCCCCTATGGTGGTTTATTTTCTGTTTACATTACATTAAATAACTTTAATAAAATGGCATACTTTACCCACTGTAATCTAGCTTGACTGTAAGTCTTCTTTCCATGAAGATCACTCTGTCTAATAGACTTCATTTTGTGCTCATTAATCCTGAACTTCTAAGATCATGTTCTTGGTTTCAAGTTGACAAACTAATATGTTAATTTACACCACTTTAGAAATATCCCCTTGGATTTTTCCCAGTGTGCCTCTTAAAGCCACCGAAAAAAAAACCAACTGCAGCCTTGGCAACACCTCCGCCCAGGTACATAATCATAACAGATAGCCGGGCACAGGTAACAATTTCCATTCATCTCTGCGCTGCTTTGTTACGCTTGTTAGTAGCTGACACTACACTCAGATTTACGACGACCTTTTAGGCCTCTTTGCATTCACGGCTATCAGGTATCCGGGCATCTCAATCTCAGAGCACTCTTCTCCTTAACCGGAACCCTATATGACCACCTACACAGCGGGCTATAACTGGCATATACTTTTAAGCTGATAACCAAACACTTGATTTGCTGAAGTGGAAACACAGGGGTCGCAGTTCAAGAAAAAACCAGAACCGTAGGTTGCCAAAACAATAATCTCTGTGATTTATTGTCCTTTCAAGAGATCCTCGCTGTTGAGATGAAGATTAAGATATTGTCAGTCAATAGGAAGATGATGAAATCGTATTTAATGCGGTGTTTTCTTTGGGAGAGAGAGAAGGGATATACCTTCCTGAATATAGGAAACATTATTGTTAATAGAGATCAATGGCGGGGGGGTTTCTTAGCCATTTGTGACCTCGCCATCGATTGGCTGGCAATAAAAACCCGTTCTGGGGACTCGAACTGGGGAGCTGCTAACTGGAATTGGAATTGGAACTGAACTGGGAACCAACTAGCACTCGTTATTGGCCATTTCGACTGGGGTGTGTGTGCTCATTTCGCTGGCGCCACTCCGATTTTGCATGTTTTCCGCATTTATTTTTTCAGCTTTTTTGTTTGTTGTATTTTTTCCATTTTTTTGCATTTTGACGTGGAATTTTTATGGCCAGCAAAAGTGTCTAATTTCGTTGCAGAAAACTGAAAGCCACTTCAACAGCAATCACATGTGTAGGTTTCGTTACTGACCGAAATCAAAAATATTCTACCCAAGGCCATAATTAGAAAATTGGTGATTAGCTGGAAAGCTTTGGCAGTCGAAAGTCGGTAGTCCAGGGGGCATGAAAGTGCATTTAGCAATGTCATTGCACTCCTGAAGCTGCACCAAGCAGATTTATCTGCCAGGTACTATGCCCCCATCCCGAAAACAGGCTTCCTCTTTGGGGGCTTCTTGCTTGGGCCTAGGTCTTCTGCTTCTGCATTGAGAGAAAATGTTAGGAATCTTAAATATATCTAAAAGAACTTCAAAGAAAGCGATAAAAGGAACTAAACTGATCTGTTTTTTTTACCTTTTACGTTTCAAGATGATAAATCATTTATTAATAAAAATTAACTTCTAGAACTTGATTCTTGCTAAGGATAGGATTTCCTTTTGGCCAGTGTAGCTGGGTCTTCGTTTTGTGTCTGGGTTTGTCAACAGCCTGGCAGAATCCAGTTTTCGCCTAGGAGCCGCTTTGGCAGTCGATGTAGAGGAGCAACAGTCGTCCAGATGCCGAAGCCTCTGCAGTTCCAATTCCAGTTCCAGTTCTTTGGGCCGTCAGAGCAGCGGCTCATAATTATGCATTAAACACTCGAAGTTTACGGGCCAGAAGTGGCAGCTGCAACTGCGGCTTTAATGGACATCAATTTGCATGGAAACCATACAGAAAACGATGACATTTGAAAGAGCCAACTGCGTGGGTCGTTTGCTATTTGTATATAGATATATATAGATATATGCAATATGCTGTCCAACCGAAACGAAACGAAATGCAGTCGCCAAATCGCATTTGAAAATGCCCAACAAAAAACTTGTTTATTGGCTTAGACCCCTTAGCGTCGCCTCGCTGCATGCATATTCGTCTCGTCTCGTCTCGTCTCGTGGGTCAATGTTATGTAAACCTGGTTCACTTTTTTTTCTTTATTTATATTGTATATATATATATACATTTCATCTTCTTCTTCGTTATTTTCTGGTATTTTTTTTTACCACACACATAATACGCTCAACTTATTACACAAAAACCCAAATAACTCAACAAATATTTACGGACGCAGTCAACAGAAATCGATTCAATTTTCCTCCCTACCTTGTTGTTGCTTTCTTTCCATCTCTTTCTTACTGAATATATCCATCTCTTTCATTTGGCGTCTATGTGGATTCGTCTTACTGGTTTGGCTGCACTGCATTCCAAAGATGCGAGTTGCGGACCGGACCCGATAACAGAAATAAAAGTGCAAAGCAGCCACATCCAAGCCATTCCAGCCACCTCAACATAAAAAATACAAAAAAATGTCGCCAGACCAAATTAAAATAATTTAACACATATAATTTCGTGTATTTTTCGCTTACATCATAACTCTTGTCAAAAGGTGGCCGAAAAATGAGATTGAAATGAAAATCGGGCAGCTCTAATCGCAAAATCACATCAGCAGAAAAAAGAAGGGGGAGCTGGAAACTCAAAGATAATTCCTCAACTTGTAGTTTGCATTTCCACTTAACTTTTTTTTATGGTTTTGGCAAGATTTAGTGACAATAAAAAGAGTAATAATAGAAACGGAACTAGATCGTTAGATCGTTACTTTATATATATAAACATAATGGTTTCTTTATTTAAAAACAAAAACATTTTGAAAATAACTTTTGGCTTTATGCCAAAGTTATGATTCCTAAACTGCTCACCCTTAAAACTTACAATAAATCCAAAACTCCAAAACCTTCTCTGATACCATCAACCTCATAAACCTTGTCTGTCTGACCCTTCTCAGAGGTGGCCGTAAGATGAGATTGAAATGAAAATCCGGCAGCTCTAATCACAACAAGCGATCGTCAGAAATAAAAACCCCCCTCCCCACTGGAAGAAAGAAAAACTAAATGAAAATGCGTAATCACAAGGAGAACGGAAATGCCTCCGAATTAAGCGAATCCAAGGCTGTTGGCCAAAAGAACTTGGCCAAAATGGAACCAGAGAACAACAATAAGATTTCGGTGGTGTCCAAGCTCCTGCTAAAGGATAGCAATGGGGCTAGCAGCCGGAGTAGCAACAGCAATGCCAGCTTCAGTTCCGCATCGGTCGCCGGTTCTGTACAGGTAAGTCAGAGTCTCTCTATCTCTTATTTTTTATTTTTTATTTTCTGCCAACCGGTTTCGGTTTTCTTTTCTTCGAGCGTCTGACTTGTGTGCTTCTTGTTTTTATTATTCTTGTTAATAAATCCTCGAAAGCGCGCAGAATTCCAATCGCACACGGTCTCTGACTCACAGCCACAGAAACTCACCCAAAGACCCGGCTCTTGGCCAGCAATATGAAACAAAAGTGAAGGCTCAAAGAAAATACACAAAAACAAAAAATTATAAAAAAAAAGCAACAACAAAAACAAACAAATGAAACGCAACGAATCGGAGCCAAAAAGCCCACGCACAGTGGGTCTGAAAAGTCTGGGAATTCGATTTTCGATATTCGGACCACTGCAGGTTCCTAATTGAATTATGGGCCTGACCTCCATTTGCATTGCCCAACCCCGGGAAGTTTCGTTTTCGATACTCCATATGGAGTATACGAGACACACTCGTAAATCTCCTACAGCATCTGTGTGTGTGTGTGTGTGTGTATGTCACTCAGTCACCCAAAAAGACTAAGGAAAACGGTAAAATTTACCACTTGGAGGAGAGTTTTGTTTGTTTGTTTTTTTTGGGGATCATCATGTGGGGGAATCCGTTGATCGATCAACCAACCAACCGACCGACCGACCACTCCCCATTCTCATCTTTCTCCTCCGCCAGGATGCGAGTTATTAATTGGACAACTGGCCATGAATGAAGCCATAGGAATGTCGACTTGCGTGTGAAGTTGTTTTCTCGATGCCAAATGAATGAATGAGTGCCTGCTGTTGTTGTTTTGGTTCTCATGAGATAAAATGTGGGCTTTGATAAGGAAGCTGTAGAAATGTGGTTCAAGGTGTCACTGATTCTGAAAATAAAGTGGTTTATTGGCTGGCCAAGTGATTAAACAACTATTACTTTTGACTAAAAAAATACAATTTAAATCATCCATGAAAATATAGTTATTATTCCTGAGTTACTTAGAAAGAAAGTTAGCCAGTATCTTGTGGTGCCACAATAATTACTTTTAATGATTATTTTGTGGCTGCCAAACATTCTTGGAAATCTTCTCTTTCACTTGCCCCCAATGATGGCATTCTCGATCATTAGACACACACAGTCATCACACATACACATAGCAACTGACTGATTCTGTTTGATTTGCCCCGTCACCCATTAACCTTAACTGAATTATTGTGGGCCAGGGACGATCTATAATCCCACCATTGGGCCACCGCCATTCGATGTTCTGCTGTGTGGCAGTGAATGCCACACGTTGGAAAATGGATTGGTTTGCTTCTAAAATGCAAAATAATTTACCAAATTAACGGTACCATTATCAACAGCGACGATCCGATCAATCAAACTGAATCCGATCAATTAAATGTTGCCTCCGAGCGTGGCACAAAGAATCAAGAAAACACCAAAGAGAAATGAGCAATAAGAGGAAAAGAGGTTATGAGCAGAACAGAGCAGAATGCTAAGAACGTGGCTAGTAGATGATGGTGCACTGATAAAAATTATGAGTACTAAGAACTATAAGTTATCAAAAACCTTAAAAGGCTAAATTTTTGGCCATAAACCTACTTCTACCTCTGCCAAACTCTTCAGCATATCCCGATTAAAGTTTATCTTTAAAAATCTTATAGAATTTTCCTCATTTTCTCCTCACATTTCTCCCAGTGCATCCGATCGTGTTGATGATAGCTGGGCGAAGTTGGAGAAATGTGGCTGAGAATTGGAACAGCATTGACCTTATCACCGAAAGCTTCGTCTGCCGGGGTCTTTTGATTAATCATCTCCATTCTTAATTGTGGCCCCATCTTCATATATGCCGATTGTTATCATCACATCGCCTTCCTCTAGCGCTTGGCAAAATAGCAAACAAAAAAAAAAATATGTATTTTCCATAGCCTTTGGGCCTGGCTTAGATGTGGAAAGAGAATGGCCAAGCGGCGATCGATAGATGGATCGATTCGCGGATCGATGGACAATGGCGGGCAGGTTATTGAACCGCTTTATTCTCGGGCATTTGTAACGTTTTATTTTTCATATTTTCTTCATTTTTTTTTTGCTATTTTGTTTGAGCTTCTCCACAAAACGCTAATTACTGGCAGCGAGGCGCACGCTTTAGTTCCAGTTATTAGACAAGACTCCACAGCTGGATCCTAACGTCGATACTCCCATGCTCCAGTATTTCCCTGCGCTCATCCTCGGTCCATTGATGGCAGTGGTCGTGTGTGTATGTGTGTTGCAACATCACCATCACAGCTCTCCAAGCTTAGAACTAGTTTCGGGGTCTGGCTGAGATATTTTTGCATCGATTAGGCCACATTCCACGCACCTATATCGCACCGCTGGGCGTTGCAATCTCTTCGGGGGCTATTTATAGCTACAATCGAATTAATTGTGGCCACGCCCCACAGCGTTAGTGCCGGAATCTCTGACAAAACCAACTGTAATGGCCCCAACTAGTGGGTAGTGGGGTAATGGTTAATGGGTAGAAGGTAATGGCTAGTAGGCAGCCCAGTATCCAATGGGCTTGACGAAGGTCGTCGCTGTCCATTCTTCTCAGCCTCTTCTTTGCTTTAGATGAATGCGCAGATTTCTAAAGAAAAATATTTTGGTTATAGATGTTCAGATTTTTTCTTCATTTTTTTCTCCCTTTTTTTTTTTTTTTGCTTTACTTGGGTTTTTTCTTCTTTGTTAACTTCTTTTTTTTCTGTCGAATCAGCCAAAGCACTTGACGCTGCACTGGAATTGGTTTCTGTTTTTTTTGTTTTTTTGTCTTTATATGTATTTTGGTAAAGTTCAAGTGTTTGTTGGGGCTAAAGCTGAGGCTGAAGCGTGAGTTGATCATGTCGAAGCCAGTGGGCCACCTTAATCGTCGCTTCATTTCCGTGCTCCCAGAGCTTTCCTTTCAGCTGCGGAAATGATCGCATATTTCGCCAAAAGAGATCTCCGCCAGCCGAACTAGCCCATCGGGTTGCGCAATTAGGGGCGGCTAAGCGGTCTGGTCTACGCCTCAATGGCTAACACTTTGGGCAGAATGGGAGGGGAGTCTTTAAAATTATAAATAGACTTGGGCTTGGAGTGTCTGGGCAATGGAAGAAAGGTTTGATTTTTGGTTTAACAGGAGTTAAGCTAACTATAAACTTGGAGCTAAAAAATACTTCTTGCACCTCTGTGGCATGTTCTTAAAGGCTTCTAATGAAGTTTGTTTGTTAGTTTAAATAAGAAAGCAAATAAGATTATTTATTCTGATTTCCATTGAGTTCCTTTAAGTGTTAACAAGCTAGGCGGGATGTGCATTTTCAGAAACTTAAGAAGAAACCTCAAACCTCAGTTTCTGGAAAGATTCTAAAAGAATGAAAACCTCTCTAACGTGTTTCTCCAAGGCAGAAGCTTAAGCATTAGCTACTTAGTTGGTTAATTAATATAATTTCTTAGATTTTCATGAAAGAATTACTGGTTTTCATTTGTCGTTTTCCCATTCTATTATAATCACTACCAGCAGTGTGTTCGCTGGCATTTCCTCGGCCTGTCTTCTATTTCATTTTCATTTCCAATGTCTGTCGAACGCTTCAAGCTCAGCTCAGCTCAAACTCAACTCTGTTCAGTTTTGTTTAGCTCGACTCTTAACGCTCATTAGTTCTCTAAGTCCGTCAGCCCCAGCTCTCGACTTGTTTTCTCACACACGCCACATACAGGAGGCTTCAGCTCTGCAATTAATTAATGCCAACAGTCCGGCAGCAGCAGCAGCAGCAGCAGCAACAACAGCATCATCAGCTACAACAGCAACATCAGCAACATGAACAAAAAGCAGCAACAATGCCGCCTGCCAGAGCTAAATTCTAGCCAGATTCCAGCTAAATTGTTTTGGCTTGTCTTTGAACTCGAACCGCCGGCTTTTTAGCTTTGGCTTCTTCCCTTCTGCTGCCAATGGTTTGCATTTTTTCAGCAGAAAGGAAAATAACAAAAGAAACAACTATAACAAATAATTGCACTCTTGCTCTTGCGACAGGTGCAAAGCAACGCTCCTTCATCTGGCATTCTGCCCCCCCGGCAAAAATGTTGCGGAAAATTTCACCTATGTCGCTATGCTAGGGAATCGGAATTGGAAGCGGAATCGGAATCGGAATCCATTGTTCCGGAGATGGAAATGCTCGGTTCATTGTATGCACTTCTTCTTCTTCTGGCCAACGGGCATGAAGATTTCTTTATGAACGAGTGGTGGCTTAATTAATTAACAGGCCAAGTGAAAATGCATTTGGCCAGGTGCCGTTGGCTCTGCTCTGCTCTGCTCTCCTAGCCAACTTCGATTTCATTTTCCGTTGGAGTTTGCTGTTGGGGGCTTCTTTTTTGTATCTTTTTTTTTTTGTTTTTTTGGCTAGTTCTTGAACCCACACGAGCAAGAAATTTCACTTTTGTTTCTCCTCCAGCAACGGCAGACAAAGCGACATTCGAGCCACGAAAATTTTTGAGGTCAACAGCAAGAAAAACGGAGACGGAGACGAGAGACTCGTTCCCATCACCGGAGATTCATTCCGTCTGCTGGCCGTTTTGGCCAAAAGTGGCCACAAACATTTGTGGTCTGGGCCTGTGTCTGTGTCCATTGAAATTCTTGCCATCGAATTGAAACTCTTCGTAATTTAATGCCAACTTAGAAGCCTCGAGCTCGTCAAGAGTCTGGCAAAGAGAGAGAAGAGACAGCTGCCCTTTCGATCCAGTTGCAATTTGGCCGAAAATAAACATGATTTGCCATTTCGATTTTCTGTTTTGTCATCCGGCAGCCAGCTAAAGGAGAATCGGTATCCTCAGCGCTGGAAAAACAGAAAGTGACCGAGTGAAAGATTTTCGGCTTTCTAATTGGATCTCTGCAGCGGTTGATGGTGACTCTTTTTTGGGTTCCGTTGGCTTGGCTATCTTCTGGCATCGCCTGGTCAGTGGGGCCTGGCTAATTAAGGGTCTCGCAGCAGGGCTAATTATGG